ATGGAGGACCTCAGTTTAGCTTGTTTGTCGCGCTAGCGCCGAGCTAATACATATAAGGCAATATATCAAGAGTCAATCATCAGATATTGTCCAAGATTAACCTTCAGGGTGGATATAGCTCGCTAGCAGCCTCGCACCGAGGACCTATCCACGTCATCATTTACCCAGAATGCTTTGCGTGTAAATAAAATGGCTCCGTCCGTTTTAAAATATATTTTTAAAAATTTACAAATCTAAACAGCCTACAGTATTTTTACAGTCTTTATTTTACAGTTAAAATAAATGTTTATCAAATAAAGTCTAATGTTACAACTAATCTGATCCCTTTAAAACCCCACATCTTCACTGCAGACTCTGGTTCCAAACATCTAAAATGATTGATTCCTCCTGACTTCACCTCCCAACACTTAGTCTAGTAGAATACGTGTTTATGGGATTGACATGTAGCTGGACCGTTCTGTATGGAGTTAACATGTTCTCCCCATGCATGTGTGGGTTTTCTCTTGGTGCTCTGGTTTCCCCTCACAGTCCAAAACCATATATGTTATGTAAGTTTCTTATCTAAATTGTTCTTAGGTATTAATGTGATCAGTTGTTTGTCTCTGGGTGGCCTTCAATCAAGCAGGTATAATAATGGATGGATTTGTCCCTATGCTTTACTGGTTTTTTTTAAAGCTCCAACACAGATGGACTTCTCACTTCCTTCCCCCCCCCCCCTCCTGTTCCCAGCTCCCTGCCCCTGAGCCACAAACACGTCAGGTCTCCGGTGCTGCTGCTGTGGGGAGAACGGGACGCCTTCCTGGAGCAGGAGATGGCGGAGGCCTGCCGCCTCTACATCAGGAACCACTTCCGTCTCAACATCATCTCTGGGGCCAGCCACTGGCTGCAGCAGGACCAGCCCGACATTGTGAACACCCTCATCTGGACCTTCCTGAAGGAGGGAGAGGGGCGCAAAAGTTACAGGAACTAAATGAGCAACCTCCTCCTGCACTCTCCCCTCCACTCCTCCTCACTTGCCACTCCTGGAAGCCTTTAATATGCCTGTGACACCAAGCGACATAGTGATGATGCAATCATACTTTGGATTTTTTTCCACATTTTAGATATTTTTTTTAAAAGAAGGTCAGCAGTAAAGGAGCGAATCAAAGCACACCTCACCGGAGAGAGCGATGAAGAGTACACAAGACACATGTTCAAGATGTTTTTTGCACACGACAGTGACATCCGCCTTAAAGTTTGTCGGTTACAGCATTACAAATGTGTGGCGAAACCGTTTTGTGACTCGTATTGTGTGGTGCCTTTTAACTTTCGAACTGTCGCAGTGTAAAAAACGTCCCGAGGAGTCGGGATGTTGCGTTGTCAGCTGTACTTGTGTGTTTCACTCAGTCGCTCAACTCTAGTTCGAGCACAGTCTTTTGGGGGGTCAGGACCCCCCTTGCTCCCTTTATCAGGTAGTGTTTGTCACGAACTGTTTTCTTTGTTTTCTTTGTTTTGTTTTTGTTTTTTCAAAGATGTTCGCTGTAATGTAGAGAATGTTATCATGATCTTCCTGTCTAGAAATGTCACTGATGGTTATTGTACTATTTTGTATATCTTCTACACACTGCATTTTGAAGTTTGCTGAGCCAGGTCTACACCGTTTGATTTTATAAATAAACTGAATAAGTGTCACTCTGTCTGACTGCGCTGCTGTTTCAAAACTGCCTCACTTGTTTTAAGAAAACAACCAGAGAAATGGCATGACTTACAAGGTAAGAAATAGCATGAAAAAGGTTAGCTATAAATATGCAAATATTAATATAAGCAAAGAGTAGCAAGATGGTAATGAAAAGCTAAAGGTAGAAAAAAGTATCCCTAGATAATGGATGATGATTCCAAGAGAGCAAGCCAATCACTAAAAGTAGCAAAATGTTAGCTGAAATCAGCAAATGTTTAGCAGAAAGTAGCATTAAGCTAGCTAAAAGCTAATGTAAAAAATTTTAAACATTTGCTGAAAGCAGCAAAACATAAGCTAAATGCACCAAATAATTAGCTGAAATCAGTATAAAGCTAGATAAAGCTTAAATAACTAAAATGTTAAAGTAAACGACTTGCTAAAAATAGCCAAACATAAGCTAAAAGCAGTAAATGTTTAGCTGAAATTGGAATAAAGCTAGCTAAAAGCTAAAGCAACAACTGTGTAACTAAATGCTAAGACTTGACAAAAGTAGCAAAACATTAGCTAAAAGCAGGAAATGTTTAGCTGAAATCAGCATAAAGCTCGCTAAAAGTTATAACAAAATGTAAATAAATGCTAAAAATAAAAGGCTAGTTAAAGTAGCAAAACATTAGCTGAATGCAGCAAATGTTTAGCTGAAACTAACATAAATGTAGCTAAAAGCTTAAGCAAAAAAAGTGAAACTGAATGCTAAAACAAGACTTGCTAAAAGTAGCAAAACAAGCTGAAAGCAGTAAACGTTTAACTGAAATTAGAATAAAATGAGCTAAAAGCAAAGGATAACTAAATGCTAAAAACAAAAGGCTAGCTAAAAGTAACCAAGCATTAGCTGAAAGCAGCAAATATTTTGCTGAAATTAGCATAAAGCTAGCTAAAAGCTAAAGCAACAAAAGTGTAATAAAATGCTAAGATATAAGACTTGCCAAAGTAGCCAAACATTAGCTAAAAGCAAGAAATGTTTAGCTGAAATTAGCTAAAAGCTAAAGCAACAAATGTGTAACTAAATTATAAGAAAAGACTTGCTTAAAACAGCAAAAGAGTAGGTAAAAGTAGCAAATGTTTAGCTGAAATTAACATAAAGTTAGCTAAAAGCAAAAGTAACAAAAGGTTACCCAAATGCTAAAAATAAAGGCTAGCTAAAAGTAGCAAAACATTAGTTAAAGCTATATAAAGTCTAAAGTAACAAAAAGAGTAACTAAATGCTCAAAACAAATATAAATGTTCACATAAAACAAAAGTTCTAGCATCCCTCATCTGAATGAGTTGCTTGTTTTGACATCTGATGTAGCACAAAGTATGCAGAAGTAAGATTGCAAAAAACACGTAGAATTCTTTTTTTAAATAAAATAATGAGAACAGTGTGAATACTGACTCTGTGCACAATGTGTTGCCACATTTGAAGCTATAAATACAGAACATCACTTTTTCATATCTTTGTACATGTCACACCAGCAGTCCCTTCAACACAGAAAACATGAAGGGGACCTAAAATAGAACCGGCTGCTCTGCTACATTTAGCACTGAGGGAGAGATGCAGTGCAAGTTTGTCTACTCTTGTGTGGAAATTATAATAAATAAAACTAAACAATTTCTGAAGAGAAGATGCCAAAACAGCTGCTTTGTCATAATTTAAACAAAAAATGCCAATATGTTATTGTATAAATGCAGAAGAAATGTTAAAAGAACAATTTTTAAAAAAAAGCCTGTGTCAACAAGATCATCACAAGCCTGTCACCCCTGACTGCTGAGGTGATGAAAGGCAGAAACACAATGAAAAATAAGTCTCAAACAGCCACTGTTTAAAAACTATAAGTCATATCCTAAAAAAATCTTGATTCAGATGATTGATGGTCACATGTTTAAGTCTTTAGTGTTTTACTTAGAAGATATGACAAGTTAAAAAGACCCTACACTCAATTTTTTATAAAATATCTACAAATATGACAAAATCTGTGGAAGCTTGGCTGTGCCCACTTTGCATTACATTATGACTTATGATATTCTGTGCTTGGGAAAATCAGCGAAAAATATTGTGTGTGTGTATATATATATATGTGTGTGTGTGTGTGAGTTTGTGTGTGTGTGAAAAAGAGAAAGAAAGAAAATGATTTGTTTTTTTTGTTTTTTTTAGGGGTGGGGGGGGGTGTCTTAAAGATGAGGAGTGTATGCCTGTATCCAGGGGCCTCCCCCCACCCAGAGCTTGCTTTGGATCCCATCATCCTCCTCTCTCCTGACACACATATACACACACTTCCTGTCTCTCTCTTGGTTTCTCTCTGCGTTGCTCATCATGCTTCGACTTTGAAGTCGCAGCTTTCTCTTTCCCTTTTTTTGTCTCTGTGTAGCTTTGATGCACTAACATTCTGTGAATAGTTCCTTTAATGCCTGCTTCCTTGTGCCTCACTCTCCCCACTCTGCCTGTGTAGCAACGGTGAGTCTCTTGCCTTTGAAACGACGTCCATAAATTACAACTTGTCAAGTGTCATTTTCCTTGTTTACAGCCATTTTGTGCTCCTNCTACAGAGTTACCTGCTACCACCTGGTATACTCTGCAGGAGATGTTTACTTTCTGGTACCACTCTGCTGCCTAGGATAAGCCTAACAACGCCAGCCAGGACAGTGACGTAATTGTAATTGAGTGGAGATGCCTTCAAGGACAGTCAAAAATTGTGCAACTACATAGTCCAAAACAGATATAACAACAAATATCATTCAACTTTGTGTTCACCTTTAACAAATATAAACAAAATTATGAATATTGACCTGATAGGTCTCTTTAATTTTAAAAACAGAAACAGAAACAAACGTTTTTAGCTTTTTTTTACATGCAAAGCTTGAAAGCATAAAGAAAGTGCTCATGTGCTTCAATTATATTTTAATATTGCTACATATTGAGCACTTTTCAGGAGAGCGTATGGTCAGGATAAGGAGGGTTTCGGTTTCTAAATGTAATCCGAGCATTATTTAAGATTGTGTTATTTACCGAAATATCTGCGTCTGGCTTCCGCACAAGAAGGTTCACATACTGCGCATGCGCTGAAGCTTCCGGGTTGTCCCCTCCTTCGTTTTTCAACCGTGTGGGCGGTGATCATCAGCGTCAGCGTGTAGCTGTGTTGTCAACATCAGTTCGTAGGTCAGCAGTTCTGTAATACATACGCTTTACCAGTTGTTTTTCCATACACACATACAACTTCAGCTAAAAGAGGTTAACAGCACTTTCCTTCTACTGGTCTGCTTTTGTTTAGAAACAACCGGGGTTCAAGCTTTAAGGAGATAAACGGTTGAATATAGCTCGTTTTAGCTAACGCTAGCATGCTAGCTGTGGGAAGATGAGAGTGGTGGTGTTTTTGTTACAGCACAGGCTAACGGAGAAAGAGGAGAGACGTGGTTGTGTCAGCACAAGTAAGTTCATGTTGCTCAGGGTTTGGGGTTTGCTTTCAATTAGCTTTGCGCTTTATTTTTGTTAAAACAACACAAGCAGTGGTCTGTTTTACTCTTTGTCAGCTAATATGTGTGTTATCGCTTCAGCGAAAGAAAGCTGTTTCTTTTGAAGCTGTAATATTTATGGAATTGTACGACTAACGCAAATTGCGATTCGTCGTCCGAATGAAATGCATTTGACGATTTTGCATTTTCATTGATTTAATAATAGAAGAAAACAGCGCCCCTTTCCTTAGTTTGGTGGAATATGGTACTGCAAATGACCAACACATCTCTTATCTCATCAATAATCTATATAAAGGAGCCATTTTAAACATCCTTCCTTCTAAATATACTTTGTATGGCGCCACAAAATCTGCTTCACTATTAAAAAACAGTTAATAATTTTACCTTTCCTTAATTCATGCATTTATTATCCGTCCTCTTCAGCTAAAGCTGCCTACCCAGTCCAGTCTGTCTTTTTTCTGTTACAGAGAATATATTAAAACATGATCAACAGCGAGGCTGCAAGAGAAGTTCAGAGCAAAGAGCACAAACACAAAGAGCAGCTGAGAAGATGTCTGTCCACGGCTTTGTCCACAGACCTGAACAGGTAAGACATGGGACAGAATCTCCTGGTCTGGAAAGACCTGGGGTCTCATTTATAAAGGATTGCGTGGAAACCATACTAAAAGTGAACATACGGCCAAAAGGCGGAAATGGCGTACGCAAAAAAAAAAAAAAAAATCAGATTTATAAAACCATACGTACGCACGTTTCTGTGCATCTTTCC